TCCCGTGGCGGCAAGAACAAGCCCAAGGGTGATCGCGACGGCGGCGGCGGACAAGGCAGGCGCCGCCGGCGGTGAACGAAAGGCGAACCGCAACGACACACCTCCAAGCGCAATCGCTTGGCCGGACTTTGGGCCAAGGATTGCCCCATCCTCGGCGCGAAGCGCTTGGCGTGGCGGCATGGCGAATGTCCTGTAAGCGAGAGGAGGCTGCTCTGTTTCTCGCGCACGGGTTCCTGGAGCTGGATGCAGAAGGGAGCAGCGGCAGGGCGCAAGCTTGGCCCTTCTGCACCGAGTCCGCCGTCGACCTCGACATCGAGGAGCCGCGAGCCCGTGTCTTCCTCAACACCGGCTTCGGTGAGGACAAGCTTGACGGCTGGTACCTCGAAAGCGGCGTCAACCACCACATGACCGGCCATCGTGAGCTGTTCACCAACCTCGACTGCAGAGCTAGAGGCACGGTGAAGTTCGGCGACGCGTCGAAGGTGGAGATACAAGGCGTAGGCTCCATCTTCAAGGGGAAGACCGGCAAGCACCGGGTGCTTCACGGCGTTTACTACATCCCGGCGCTCCGCAATTCGATCATGAGCCTCGGCCAGCTGGATGAAGGCGGCTCAAAGGTGGAAATCGACAAGGGCGTGCTGAGGATCTAGGATCAGTGCGGCCGGCTTCTCGTCAAAGTCCGGCGCGGTGCCAATCGCCTCTACGTCCTCCACCTCGAGACGGCCCGGCCGCTCTGCCTCGCCACACGCAAGGATGACGAAGCGTGGCGCTGGCATGAGCGCTACGGCCACCTCCACTTCGCGCTGCACAAGCTCGCCAAGGATGACATGGTGCGTGGGCTGCCGGCGATCAAGCATTTCGGGCAATTCTACGACACCTGCGTCATCACCATACAGCGAAGGGCCTTGTTCCCGGCTGAAGCAGAGTATCGCGTGCAGGAGTTGCTTGAGCTCGTCCACGACGATCTCTGCGGCCCTGTGACGCCGGCGACTCCCGGCGGCAGGCGCTACGTCCTGCTGCTGGTTGACGACGCCACGCGGTACATGTGGGTGTCTCTTCTGACGACCAAGGACGCCGCCGCCGCCGCCATCAAGCATATGCAAGCGTTGGCGAAGAAGGGGAGCGGGCACAAGCTCTGGGTGCTGCGCACCGAAAACGACCGGGAGTTCACCACTGCGGAGTTCGCCGTCTACTGCGCGGATGAAGGCATCCAACGTCATCTCAGCGCCCCCTACTCGCCGCAGTAGAACGGAGTCGTGGAGAGGAGAAACCAGATGGTAGTGGCCATGGCGCGGGCTTTGCTCAATCAGCGCGGAATGCCGGCCAAGTATTGGGGGGAGGCGGTGGTGACTGCAGTCCATCTGCTGAACCGATCGCTGACGAAGAGCTTGCAAGGCAAGACCCCATACGAGGCGTGGCATGGAAGGGCTCCGGCAGTCGCTCACCTGCGCACATTCGGCTGCCTCGCCTTCGCCAAGGAGTTGATCCAGGTGAAGAAACTGGATGACCGCAGCCGGCCCGTTGTGTTCATCGGGTACGCTGACGGCGCCAAGGCGTACCGCGTCCTCGACCCGGAGACCCAACACGTGTGTGCGACGTGCGACGTCGTCTTCGACGAGAGTCGCGGTTTGAACTGGACCAAGGTGGGAGAGAGCTCAGCATCGGCGGCGGAAGAGTTCACCGTCGAGTACCTATGGAGTGGGGGAGCACAAGGTGCGTCTCCATCAGCATCCCCAGCTCCGCCGCGCTCACCATCACCAGCTCCGGGGGAGCCTGGGAGCATGACGGCGACATCTGTCACTCCACCTCCGCTCCAGCCAGTTTCACCAACGGCGCCATCGGCTGCAGCATCCTTTGCTTCACCTGCTTCGCCCATTGCCACACCGCCGCCCGCCGATCATCTCTCAGTCGAGCTCGCCACGCCGCTGGAGGACGACGAGGACCTCCTGGACGCATTCTACGACGACGAACCCCTCCGTTATTGCACGGTGACGAACATCATCGGCGATGAGTCTCCACCAGGGCTGGTGCCGCGCCTCTTCGCCCAGCTGCACCTGACTTATGCCGGCGAGCCAACCAATTACGTTGAAGCGCAAGGCGATCTAGCCTGACAAGCTGCCATGAAGCAGGAGCTCCAGTATGTGGAGAAGAACAAGACATGGGAGCTCGTTGATCTACCTGCTGGTCACCGCCCAATCACTCTTAAGTGAGTCTTCAAGCTGAAGAAGGATGAGAAGGGAGCGGTGACCAAGCACAAGGCGAGGCTGGTAGCACGCGGCTTCGACAAGGAAGAGGGTGTTGACTACGACGATGTGTTCGCTTCAGTGGCGCGCATGGAGTTGGTCCGCGTCTTCCTCGCACTGGCAGCCCAAGAAGGATGGCGGGTGCACCACATGGATGTGAAGTCCGCATTCCTCAACGACAACCTCAAGGAAGAGGTGTACGTGCCTCAGCCGCCTGGCTTCGCCGTCGTCGGGAAGGAAGACAGTGTACCGCCTGCGCAAGGCCCTCTACGGCCTGCGGCAGGCACCACGTGCCTGGAACACAAAGTTGGATGCCACGCTCAAGGTGATGGGCTTCCACCAGAGCGCGCACGAGGCGGCGGTGTACCGGCGGGGCAGCGGGTGCACTGTCCTGCTTGTCGGCGTCTACGTCGATGACCTGATCATCACCGGCGCCAAGGAAGGAGAGGTGGAGAAGTTCAAGGTGCAGATGAAGGAGAAGTTCGACATGAGCGACCTCGGCCTTCTCTGCTTCTACCTCGGTGTCGAAGTGCGCCAGGATGCCAGCGGCATCACCCTTCGTCCGGCTCACTACGCCAAGCGGATCCTCGAGCTCGGTGAGATGGTTGGCTGCAACCCCACCCACACGCCAATGGAGAAGCTGCGGCTCAGTCGTCAGAGCACGGCGGAGGAGGTGGACTCTACGCACTACCGGCGGCTCGTCGACAGCCTCCGGTACCTGGTGCACACCTGGCTGGACTTGGCGTTCGCGGTCTGGTATGTGAGCTTGTTCATGGAGCAGCCCTGCAGGCCGTGAAGCATGTTCTTCGCTATGTGGCCGGGACCTTGGACTACTGTCTGCACTACAGGAGGGCTCCCAGCACGACGTGCTTCATCGACTACTGCGACAGTGACCTCGCCGGCGATATCGACACAAGCAAGAGCACCAGTGGAACAATGTTCTTCCTGGGTGATTGCTTGGTCAGCTGGCAGTCCATCAAGCAGAGGGTTGTGGCATTGTCAAGCTGTGAGGCAGAGTACATTGGCACCACCACTGCAGCAACACAAGCTTTGTGGCTGTCCAGGTTGCTCGGGGAGCTTCTTGGCAGAAAGGTTGATGTGGTGGAGTTGAAGGTGGACAGCAAGTCCGCTCTAGCTCTGGCCAAGAACCCAGTCTTCCATGACAGGAGCAAGCACATTCGGATCAAATACCATTTCATCAGGGATTGCTTGGAAGAAGGGAGCATCAAGGCCAACCACATCACCACCACTGATCAACTAGCAGACATACTCACCAAGTTGCTGGGCAAGGCCAAGTTCCAGGAGATGAGGAGGAGAATTGGTCTGAAGCAGATCACTCAGCATTAGGCTTAGGGGGAGATTGATAGTTAAGCCTAGTTGCTTGTATCTTACTTTTATGCATTTATTATTCACTGTCAAGTAGTTAGAATATGCTGAGTAGGTACACCACTTGCCTATATAAGCAGTGGCTAAGCATCTTCTTGTATCTCAAGTTTTGCAATTTCAATACAATCCAAGCGGCTTAGTGGCCAAGCTGCCCTCTGGGCTTTTACCCCAAATCTGAGATCCATTTCAATGTCTCGGCAACAGTAACAAATAAACCTTCATGCTTGGGTTACTCCCATATCCTAGCTGCTGGGTGAAGTCCTCAAAGCACAGAGGCATCCAAGCATCTGAATTAATCCAATCAAACTAGTCAGTTTTCTCAACCATAAAAGACCTGAGAAACTAACAAAAAATCCTCCATGGTGAATGTCAACTACGATTTCCTCTCTACAAGGACCTACATTATCATGGTGCCAAAACCCTAATAATTCGAACAAGATTGACCAAATTCCACCACCATAGATGCCAAAATCAAGCTTTCCTAGCCCAACCAACACCTATAACTCTAATTTGACTAAAAACCATAGGAATTAACACGGCGAGGGCAAAGATGAACTCACCATACATGGGCACAGGTTCCTTTTTCCCTCACAATCTCGCCACCATCCTTCCAAGTGTCGATGGTGGACTGCTCCAGCTTTGATTGATTCCCTCCGTACTCTTCTCGCACCGACAGGTCTGCAAGCCACTGATCACCACTCATCTCTGTCACCCCACGAGACGATGAAGTCGAAGTGTTGGGATTGACCAAGAACGAGAGACCGGGGGAAGAACGAGTACTTTTGCTATTTTTACAACGAGCTCGGTGTGCCCTTGCCACATATATGCTCCACAGTGGCAAGGCCATGTATGCATGTCGCACACGTCGCCACCTGTTTGTATGACAGTGAGAGCCGAACAGTGATTATGGGCTTAAAAGTCCATTTTGCGAGTTCTTGGGCCAACTTGATGCACCGTGACAAGTTTATGGACTGGCCATGGACTTTACTCACTATATAGGCTAATGCCCAAATTGCTTCTGTACAATCTCTTACTGTGTCTGTGTATTTCTCTATTCAGTTGTGCTTTCCTAGAGAGATTACTAGGGTCTTGGAACATTGGAATTTGAGACATCAGTCTTCAGAGCTGCATCTTTGTTGCAGCCAGGGTCACATGGTTATGTTTCTTGACATTGTAACAATTTCTGGGGCACATTTATTTTTTGAAATCAGGAACTAGTAACTGTAGAATATTGACCGATGTATGATTAGTCATGTATTATATGGTGCATATGCCTGTATTCATCTTTCTTTCTTTAATAAGTTTAAACTTATGTGGTGTATCATCAATTCACCATGATTTTAACTCATTTATAATTTCTCTAATTCTCAGATACATTCAGGAGAACTATTCCAAAATTCGTGACGTAGAAAAGGAGTTAGAGAGTCTTACTTTAGAAATGAAACTGACAGCTGGACCAAAGAAAGCAGGTATGTAACATGTTTTCCAATAGCACATACAGTTCACCTTCTATACACAGAACATTCTTATCTTCAGTACCTTTGATTCACCTACTATAATAATTTATGTAGAGAGTGTTAATGTATATAGGCATATATAGTCTTCTCCACATCGGCATCCTTAGTGGCGCGCCACATCGGCGCCCGGATGTGGTGCAAAATGAGCAAGGGTCTTCACACCTACATCGGCGGGTACGAAGGGTAAGAAAGCTAGTCAAGTCAACTAGGATCCGATCCGTTTAGGTAGCTGGAATGTAGGGTTCCTTATGGGTAAGTCAAGAGAGTGGACACAACGGTTAGGAGGCGTGTAAATATCTTATGCGTCCAAAAGACTAAATGGAAGGGGCAAAAGGCGAAGGAGGTGGACAATACCGGCTTCAAGCTCTGGTACACAGGTACAACTTCAAATAAAAATGGAATAGGAGTTTTGATTGATAAGAGCCTCAAGGATGGTGTGGTGGAGGTGAGAAGGTAAGGAGATAGGATCATCTTAGTTAAACTTGTCATTAGTGATATGGTCTTAAACGTAGTTAGTGCGTATGCCTCCCAGGTAGGCCATGATGAGAGTGTTAAGCGGCTTTTCTGGGAAGACTTATATCGCTTGGTTAGAGCTGTTCCTAGTAGCGAGAAGCTCTTTATAGGAGGTGATCTTAATGGCCATGTAGGTATATCAAGTGCAGGTTTCGAGGCGGTTCATGGGGGTTTCGGATATAGTAGTAGGAATCAGGAGGGAGAGGAAGTCTTAGACTTTGCTATAGCTTTTGATCTGATGATAGCTAACACTTTCTTTCATAAGAGACAGTCCCATTTAGTGATCTTTAGTAGTGGCCAATACTTTAGTCAAATCGACTTTGTTCTTACGAGGAGGGATAAACAAACATGCATGGACTGTAAGGTGATATCTGGAGAATGTGTGGTCACTCAACACAAGCTGGTGGTGGCTGACTTTCGCTTTCTGGTGCAAGCTCATAGGAACAGACAAGCTAGGGTTGCTAGAACGAAGTGGTGGAAATTAGAAGGGGAGGCATTAAAGGTCTTTAAGGAAAAGATCATTGAAGATGGCCCTTAGAAGGATGAAGGCGATGCAAACAACATGTGGGAGAAAATGGCAACATGTATTCGGAAGGTTGCTTCAGAGGTGCTTGGAGTGACCAGAGGGAGCGGATGTGACTCGAAAGACACTTGGTGGTGGAATGAAGATGTGCAAAAGGCTATTAAGGAAAAGGAGTGCTATAAGCGCTTGTATCATGACAGGTGTGCAGACAACATAGGGAAGTACAAGGTGGCAAAGAAGACTGCAAAACGAGCGGTGAGTGAGGCAAAGGAGCGGGCCTATGATGACCTTTACCAATGTTTGAGTACGAAGGAAGAGAGAAGGACATTTATAGGATGGCTAGGGCTCGTGATAGGAAGCCAAGGGACTTCAATCAAGTCAAGTGCATAAATGATAAGAGGGAGCAGCTCTTGGTGAAGGAGGATGAGATCAGACATAGATGGCAAGAGTATTTTGATAAATTGTTCAATGGTGAGAATGAGAACACCACCGTTCAGCTGGATGACTCGTTTGATGACACTAATAGGTGCTTTGTGCGGAGGATTTAAAAATCGGAGGTCAGAGAAGCCTTGAAAAGGATGAAAGGGGGCAAAGCGATGGGCCCTGATGGTATCCCAATCAAGATGTGGAGATGTCTTGGGGATATAGCTATAGTATGGCTAACCAAGATGTTCAATAATATCTTTCGATCGGACAAGATGCTTAAGGTGTGGAGAAGAAGCATATTGGTACCAATCTACAAGAACAAGGGAGATATCCAAAGTTGTACTAATTATCGGGGAATTAAGTTGATGAGCCACACTATGAAGCTATGGGAGAGAGCCATCGAGCCGCGCCTGCGAGGAATGACGCAGATATCAACAAACCAATTTGGTTTCATGCCCGAAAGGTCAACCATAGAAGCAATCTTTTTAATAAGACAAGTTATGGAGCGGTTTAGAGAGTAGAAGGACATCCACATGGTTTTCATTGTCTTGGAGAAGGCTTATGACAAGATACCAAAAAATGTTATGTGGTGGGCTTTGGATAAATATAAAGTCTCATCAAAGTACGTGACCCTGATCGAGGACATGTACAACAATGTTGTGACTAGTGTTCGAACAAACGATGGTAACACAGATTACTTCCCGATTAAAATTGGACTTCATCAAGGATCAGTCTTAAGCCTGTATCTCTTTGCCTTGGTAATGGATGAGGTTACCAGGAACATACAAGAGGATATCCCTTGGTGTATGTTGTTCGCTGATGATGTAGTGTTAGTGGACGAAAGCCAGACGGGAGTAAATAGGAAAATAGAGTTATGGTGGTAGACCCTTGAGTCCAAAGGTTTTAGATTTTGCAGAACTAAAACCGAATACATGAGATGCGACTTTGGCGGAGCTGCACAGGAGGAGGGAGATGTGAGTTTGGAAGGTCAAGTAGTGCCTAAGAAGGATATCTTTCAGTATCTGGGATCGATGCTACAGAGGGATGGAGATATTGATGCGGACGTTAGCCATAAAATCAAAGCAGGGTGGGTCAAGTGGCGACAAGCTTCTAGCATTCTTTGTGACAAGAGGGTACCATAAAAGCTAAAAGGCAAGTTTTATAGAACGGCGATTAGACCGGCTATGTTGTATGGAGCAGAATGTTGGCCTACAAAGATTCGACATGTTCAACAATTGAGTGTTGCAGAAATGCGTATGTTGCGATGGATTTGTGGTCTCACAAGAATGGACAGAGTTCGGAACGACTATATACGTGATCGCCTAGGGGTAGCACCAATTGAAGAAAAGCTTGTCCAACATCTGTTGAGGTGGTTTGGCCATATCCAAAGGAGACCTCCAGAGGCACCAGTGCATTGTGGAGTCCTAAGCCAAGCTAATAATATGAGAAGAGGTAGAGGAAGACCAAAATTGACATGGTGGGAGGCAATAAAAAGAGATTTGAAAGTTTGGGATATACCTAGAGATCTCTGTTTGAATAGGAGTGCTTGGAAAGCAGCTATTGAAGTGCCTGAACCGTGACTTGGGGCTCTTGGTGGGTTTCAACTCTAGTCTACCCCAACTTGCTTGGGACTGGAAGGCTATGCTGTTGTTGTTGTATAGTCTTCTCCTTTTGTGGCCCATGTAGGCCTTATGGCCCTTTTGGCCCATAATCTGTATTCTGTATACTTGTAACCTAGACTGTGTGTAATTGTAGACAAGTCATTCTTCTCTAACATGGTAACAGAGCCAATCAATTCCATCCGCCGTAGCTCATGCCTCACCGCAGAATGTTGCCTCTCCTCGCTGGTGAGCCTGCTACCCTCCCTGACTTCTAATGCGGCGTTGCCCTCCCTTGTGCCATGCGCAGGCTCTTCTTTCTCCACCCATCGCGGCGGCTGGGGGCGACGCCTCTCCTCTGTGTCACTGGTTGAGGCAGCACCCCAGTGCGGTTCTGCATCCTCTGCGTCCCAGGTTGAAGTGGGTGCGGGGCTCCTCCCTCTTTCCTTCTTCCATTCCATCCCACCCAGCACCTGCTGAAGGGGGTGCCCGTGCTGCTGTGCTGCTTGTGTTGCTGTGCCGGTCTGCTATCCATTGCCAGCTTCTTCCATGGCCCACCAACTTCTTCTGGTGGTGTTGTGCCATCACCCAGTTCTGCACCAGTTTCGTTTGGTTTACCTGTCCTGGATGTGAAGCTTACTGGTCGAAATTACAGGGAATGGGCTTTCTCCCTCAAAATGCTGCTTGTTGGCAGCTGCCGGCAGCACTGCACAAGTGATCACTACTCACTCTCACTAGACCTGAGAATGGATGCACATCCAAAATCCAAACATAGGAATCCAGCAAAAGTCCAACTAAACCAACGCCCTGTCCAGTCCAGTCCAGTCCTCATAATTAATAGAATGGGACAACTAGCGCCCGGACGTCTGGCACCAGGATGTGTCCGGACGCAGCCCGGGGCCATCCGATTGGAGGAATAGGAGCCGTCCGATTCATCTGTTATCCCTGCCTGCGTAACGATTCAACAGAGAAACGAGCGCACCTATCTGGCTATCCCTGCCCGCGTAATAGAACAAGAGCGCCCGCCCGCGCCACTTGTGGCAGCCCGTCCCCTGCCCCGCCGCCATCCCACGCCATGACGCCATCCCCTACGCGCCCTGTTGCCCTCCGCGCCCATCCCCAGCGTGCTCCTTCGCCCGAACGTCCGATGGGAAATTTTCCATCGCACGATCCGTTGCAACGTGGAGCAATGCGAGATGCAACATCAGAAGTCATCGTTTGCAACAACGAGAAATATATGATAAGAATAACATCATCTGATCCCATGAGATTCTAAGAAAAACGAATTCTTGCTGGAACAAACGGAGATGTTTCATGCAACATCCGATCGGAATCCCTTTTTTTCCTGTAAGAGGGAGACTTTGCAATTCAGCTATTGAAACATCCGATAATAACTCATGCAACAACAAAAAAAGACTAATGCAACAAAGAAATACTACTTGTTGTAACATCAGAACAAGGCTACTACAACATCAAATTCATCCAGCTGCAACATGAAAGCGTTGTCTTCATGAAGTCAGCCAGCGAGGAAGAAGGATACCCTCATGGCAACACCAATTCCCACCTTAACATCTCAAATCAACCATTGCAACATGCAAAATCAAACATTGAAACATCACAAAATCATATAGAGAGGGGCAAGCAAAAATCAGAATAGAAATCCTAGAAAAGTGAACAAAATCCGCAACAAGAGAAAGGAACAATTGAAACAAATGAAATAAATATACAAAAATCTGGACTTTACTGTTATCACATCCATCTTGAGTGGAAGAATCAGGTTGCCCACGATGGCAGCGGTGGGCGAGGGGCCTGGGCGGCGAAGCAGTACAGGAAGAGCGGCGGTAGGCAGGCATGCGAGGGGGGGGGGGTGGCTTAGCAGGGGCATGGGCGGCTCTGAGCAGGGAGGACCGCATCCCCGACACTGGCAAGCTCGCTCCGAGGAGGGATGGCCGCAGGTGACGATGAGGCTGCGCGTGGCTTGCGGGAGGCAGCTGCGAGCGCCGCCGCGGATGGCGACAAGGCAGCGCGTTGTGGGGAGGGAGCTGCGAGGGGCAAGCACCACCGCCAATGAGGCATCTGCGAGCACCGCCGCAGAGAGAGGGTCGCCTTGGAGAAAGAGAGAGGGGGGTGAGTGGTGTGGGGAGGAAGAGGATAGACGTGTGGGTGGCAAGGCAGGTGGGGCCGCGTGGGCGTGGACGGTGGGCCTGCGGGAGTGTTTCGGCGATTTGTGCTCGCGTCGGACGTAAGACGCGTACCATTATCGTTAATAGAAACGTCCAATCCAGTCCAATCCAACTCCACCCAAGTCCAAATCCATCTAACACAATCCAACTAACTACATGTTTGCCAGAAATGCGTGCACAACCTAGTAGACCTTGGCAGTCCAATACTAATCTGACTCCTCGCTCAAGAGGCAGGTACAGGATTGAACTGTCATACAGGTTCCTCACAGTATGGGGCACGTACGGCAACCCAAAACTGGCAAATGCAGTTAAACGTACCTGGCATTCATCATTCATACATCACATGTCTGCTCACAGTTTGCAAGCAAATACAGCAAAAAACTATAAAGCAACTGATATATCTTTTTTAACTTAATAACTGAAGGTAAAGCTGTATATGCTAATCAATACATATTTTTGAGAAGCAAAGCAGTAGCCATAGTATCTTTAGAACTTAAACAGAAGAATTTGAGCTCTAGATGGTAATTTGTATGTCTTTTGAACTGAAGTGTATCCAACTAATAGAACCTAGAAAACCACTGATGTCATAAAGTGGTAGAACCTCCCAAATCATTCTATAAATTATGCAGTTTTTCCTATTCTCGTCATCACCTTCAGTTTTTCCTATTCTCATCATCACCTTCGGTTGACCTGTTCACAAAAAACATTGTGTGCTTAGATCACATATTCAACATCAATTTCATATACTCAAACTAAATTTGTTTGAATCAGATTCTTCTCAGCCACCTTTAGTTTGAAGAGGGGGGGGGGGTGGGGGGGGGGGTTGTTGTTAATGTATATAGGCACATATAGTCTTCTCCTTTTCTGGCCCATGTAGGCCTTATGGCATCTTTTGGCCCGTACTCTGTAATCTGTATACTTGTAACCTTCTCTTACAGAGAGCAGTCTCATCTTCTTACTTGTTCCTGCTTTTTTTTATGTTCTTATTGTCCAGCACTTGAGCACCTGAGGAAGAAGATTGAAATATCAACAGAGAAAATACGTTTAGCTAAGGTGAAAGAGGAACAGGCAAAAAAGGTTGGATATTTATACTTGAGCTTTGATATTAATGATTTTAATTATTTTTGTGTTATTTGATTCAATTGACTTAGTATCATAAAGACTCCGTTCTTTACCATTTGTATTTACAACTTACCCATGTTTTGAATGTAATAAAGGTGCAGATTTCTTTCCAAGGATATAGGTTAATTTCTCATTGCTGAAATGGCACTTTAAGGCAAAGCCTAATTGTAAGATTAGGCACAAAGATAGTAGATTGATTATTAGGGATATGAGTCAGCTGGACTCCTTTCTTAATATAATGATGCGCAAGTTCTCCTGCATGTTCGATAAAAATTGCTAACCCATGCGATTTCATGGTCTAGTATATAATTTTTAAGGAGCGCTATTTAGTTTTGGGTGCTTATCTAATAAAAACTAAATCATCTCCTTGATCTATATCTTTCTCTCCCAGTCCTACAATAACAAATTGATGCATAAATGCAACATCAAAGGTTGGCTCCTCTAAAATAGGATTTTGTAGCCGAAGAAATTTAAAGTCTGTAGCCAGGCATCTAAAGTTTCCTTTTTAGTTTGCTGTGTTATGGCTTTGAGTATACGTCTTAGGTCCTATTTTCTCCGTCTTTTGCAGATCGGATTGTATTTTTCCATGGCCAGATATTTGTCTTCTATTTTTCCAAATAGGATTGGGACTCCCTATTTGCCAATTTGTTTTGAGAAAAATGATTTTGGAACACACTGTTTCATTGTTTATAATCGTATCGTATTGATATCAGATGTTTATCTTCCTTTTTGTGCAGATAGCTGCAGGACTCCCTATATTCTATTTTTTAGCAAGTCTATTTGCTAATTTATTTCTTGCCAAATTTTTTTTATGTAGATTGTTTTTGGACACACTGCTTCTTTTTGTGATCGAATTAATACTTATTTTTCCTTTACATAGATTGGTTTGGGGACAACTTTTCTTTCTTAAACTGGATTGGTGCTTTTACCAAGTTTGGTTATCTGAAATCTCATGGACTCTTTCTTTTAAACTGTTATCATTCAGTCCAATAAATAGATGGTAGATGTTTTTCTTTCTCGAACATGATAGACGTTTTTCTAAAGTGGATTGATGCTTTTAACAAATTCTTTCACTTTGTTTGGTTACCTGAAATCACATGGACTCTTTCTTAGTTTCTTTTAATCTAGATAATAGATGCCTGTGAAAACACTGAATAATTTGCCATCCTTGTGATATGAATGGTGCATGATTTGCCATTCTAGCCCACTTTCGTGGACTCTGATAATCCGAAATGTCAGTGGCATGTAATTGATACTCCGTAAGAATGGCATAAGAATAATTGCCGAATAATGGGGATAAAGTGTCTTTATGCTCATGTCGCCATATTTGTTTTTCCATTCCTATATCCTATATACTCCCTCCATCCCAAAATGAACGCAGTTCTGGGATGTTTTGGGGAGATCAATGCTACTTAGACATTACGTATATATCCCTATGAACAGTTATTTTTTCTCTCTCGAGCATGCAGGAGAGTTGTGTATCATTATATTAAGAAGAAAATGGCTCAAGAACCCATACAAGAAACCTTACACATGCACAGCACAACCCACTAGGATGGTAAACAGTCGCTCCCTTAACAAGAGTTGGACATGACCACTTCCACAATCAGCCCCTGGGCAAGGAGGTGATTGATGCCTCTTGCCCCCAGCAAAACCCCAAAATGACGCTCCTCACTAGCAAGCAAAAGTGCTCTAGCTAGGTTATGAGGTTCACCATCAATCACACAAGGATTATGAGGATTCCACAATGTCCAGCCCCCTAAGAGGATGATGGAATTGAGACACTTTCTTAAGTGATCAGGCACCCTCCTTGAGCTGCTGTTCCACCAATCATCCAAGGAGATCTCCCTCCTTGAGCTTCTGTCCCACCAATCATCAAAGGAGATCTCATCAGATAGGAGAGTGAGACTGTAAGCCGACTCGGCACAGAAGGAAAAACCAAAATTCTCGTGTGAAGACACGTGTTGAGTGTTGACAGCAAGTGGTTAATATTTTCCACCTCTTGGTCACAAAGGGGGCAATAGGAAGGGTGAGGAAGCCCCCTCCGTGCCAACTGATCAGCTGTCCAACACCTTTCACGGACCACTAGCCACATGAAAAAAGACATTTCCCAGGTGCCCAATTTTTCCAAATCCTCTCATAAGGATTGAAGATTACCGTACCAAGAAACAGGCTTTCATAGAGGCGGATTTTGGTGAATAATGCCCATCACCATAGAACCTCCAAACATGAGTGTCTTCCACCTCTGGCTCTGGTTGTAGTACGACTTGTGAGATGAGAACCCAAAGGGTGAAATACTGTGAAAAATTCAGCAGGGCAGATAAGGTGCCCAGAATATCCCTAACCCAGGTAAGGTCAGCTAAAGCTTCCAGAACTGTTCTCTTGTTCCTTTTCCTTTTGAAACTAATGCCAAGACTTGAGGGGCAAGATCAGCTATGCTCTGGCCGCAAATCCACCTGTCAGTCCAAAACAAAGTTGCAGCCCCTTAACCAATCTCTGAAACCACCGTAATAGAGAAGAATGCTTGGAAACACTTATGGACTGGCACATGAAAATTTGTCCAAGGACGAGTAGGATCTGTTTTCATCATCCACAACCATCTCAACTGAAGAACCCAGCCAAGATTTTGGAGATCAGAAATTCCAAGACCACCAAGCTCTTTGGGGAGGCACACTTTGGTCCATGCCACTAGGCAGTGGCCACCCTTGGCCTCTTTCCTTCCTCTTCGCAAAATTCATCTTCTTAATCTGTCAATAGCCTTGATGGCCCAGGGAGGAAGATCAATGGCCATAACAATATAGACCACCATAGATGTACATGCTGCACCAGTATACGCCACCCTTCTTTTAGTTAACAGGTTGGCCTTCCATCCAGCAGCTGCAGCAATGCTATCAATAAAGGGCTGCAGCTGGGCCTTTGTCAATTTCCTCAAAGAAAGCGGGACTCTGAGGTATTTACAAGGAAAATCCAAGAGCTCGCAAGGCAGATGATCCTGAATAAATGCCATGTCATTCTCTGAACACTGTATGGGGAACACATTACTTTTCTGCACATTTGTTTTCTGACCCGAAGCTTGGCCAAATAAATTGAGGATGTCCAGAGAAAGATTAATATCAGTGGCAAGCGGCTGGAGGAAAAGGACAAATGGAGATTCAATGTTGCAAAGCTCTGGAAGATAGGCGCTGCAGCAAGCTGTTCTCTCCAGCTTTAGAAATCATGTGGCTCAGCACATCCATCACTAGAATAATGAGCATTGATGCGTAATAATTATACTTTGGATATGGAGAAAGTAGTAAAGCTTACTGAAGGTACCTGTCCATGATCTAAAAGTGTATTTATTTTGTAGGACAAATTTAAAATGCTAGTATACACTTATTTCGGGATGGAGGGAGTAATGTCTCGTGTAGATGATCAGACCTCTACTGTTTCCCTATTTTTTCTTTGTAAATACTCGTGTTTCTCTTTCATTCTCATGTCGCTAACAATCGTTAGTTATGTTGTCTGCTATTTTTTACTATGCGTTTGGTATTCTAGGCCTGGGAAGTTGCTGCACAAGTTGTTAAAGACGAAGAGGATGCTAAGCAGAAACTATGTGATGATTTGAACTATCTAGTATGCTTTTAATTTTTCTTTTATGAATATATGCCCATCATTTTACCATATGTTCTTAAGATCTTTTTTCTTTTGTTTAACTAGGTCCAGGAGAGTGCTGCTTCCCAATATGCAAGATTAGAGGAGCTGAAGAAACGTTTAGAATCTCTGAATCCTAGCAGGGATTCTATCAATGCTTCAGTAAGTGAATAGCCCCAAGGCCAAAGATCCATGTTTCGTCTTTGAAATTATTTATTTTCTTACTGTCAGTATTTCTGCTTTAGTGTTAACAGGAACTAGTCTTATTTGATTATATGTTTCCTGTTTATTAGTAGACATTAGTTCTTTTGTTGTTTTCTGGGCAGATAATGTTGGTTTTGGTCTAAACTATGTGTATGCTCCGTATTACTTTTTGTCTCACCATTTCTTATTATATCAGGGTGTTTATACTGCACAGCACGCTACTCTGAATTCAGTACCTCAGCAGCCAACTGCACAAAATCCTGCAGATGTATCTGGCCGTCAGAATATTGCCACAGAGCCTGCTTCTATGCAACAGCGGCCTATACCTGTAGAGTCAGAAAAGAAGAGAAGACCATCGAACTTGGCGAGAGGGAGGGGTGGTGTGATGATCCTTCCGAAGGGAAGAGGGAGTTCTGGGTCAGGATGGACAGGTGCTGGGTTTGATGTAGATAGCGGTACATGACGCCCAGTATTTCAAGTTACACGTACACATTGAAATCAAGCTCTCCTAATTTCACAAGAATTATATTGGTCTCCTGAATTTTTTTTCAGATTTAGCCATTCCAGAGTTCTAATGTGAGGAATGAGGTGTACGTTTGTTCATTTGTTTATCAATTGTATATGAATCATGCACTAAAATATATATATATATATATTCAAAGGCTAAAAATCCTCATCATGACATGAAACATACATCTCTATGATAAGAAATCTGAACCAAACTGTGGGCACCCGCCATGTCGCCCTTGTCAACGTAGGGTGTGTGTGTTTGATTGCTAGATGAGGGCTCTATCATATATCTGGATGAGCGGATGTAGGATGTATGGCAAGTTGAATTGTATTTTAATAAAAGTGTTTGATGAGGATATATGAGTGGATGTAAAAAATACCGAGATGTTATTTGGTTACTTGTATGAGTCAATGCAATTTGTTGTGCTTATGAGACTGAAGCGTGGACCCTACACCACAACACTGCATCCACCAGAACTGGCTAGCAATTAAAGCCGAAATCGATTGCATGATCGGATGAAATGCAGCAATGGGCAAGCAAATATATGGGTGGGTACATGCTGCTATAGTGGTAAAAAAGACGCTCCTGTCCCAACGGCCCTACGGATAGTTTCTTCAGCTTCGATGCTCGTGAAACCTAGGTTTCTGATTAGAAATGGTTTGTTGGTTTCTACATTATAAGAGTGCCATAAGTCTCATGTATAGAGAGACCATGGTCCATGGAGAGCTGGTGGCTAGGGAAATCCATGTACTATTGGATACTGTATGCATGATGCCTGTTGAGTTTCCCAAGATAAAAATAAAACGAGACTGACGGAGATGCATATAGAGCCATAGAGGCTTACATGAAAATAAACAGACCTAACTGACGGAGGAATATGAAGCTAAAGCCATTCTTAGTGAGAGTTTAATCAGAGTTTTATTTGTTTAATAAGCTATTACATAGGTATTTTTGATGACGTGGCAATGTGATGAAGAAGAAAGTGAACAAATGAGTTTCATGAAGATGAAACTTTCTTGACACAATTACCAACTTGTCGACACAAAAATGTGACAAATGCACAGCAAGCCAGGAGAAGCCATGCGGAGCAGATCCCGAGATCTCCCAGGACTTCGGAAACACAAGACCGGATGGTCATGACCTGAGACGTGCTAATCAATTTGACCCTATAATTGACAAGAAGAAAAGATTGATCAGTAATTTAAGGTGGAACATACCGGTGTTGCTCCAGTTCCAAATATGCGATTATAGCCGATAAGATAAGGCTATCGACTAAAGAGTCGATATCTAGCATGCTCATAATGCAAAGTAAATGAAATAGGCATTATCGGCAATTACCAAGTATTAATTACGTAGATTTAATAGCCGATGATCATGAGAACATGCAAAGGTACAAAGAGTGGGTGTGAAAGCATTTATATTAATTGAGAATCAAACTAGCTTTCGACCAAAACGAAAACACGTAAGCATTGAAATAGCTAGTGTATCCTCAAGCTATCGGCTAAATAACCGATTCCAATGATTTTGACGTATAGCATGCAAACACTCATCTATTGGATATGATAAATCTACAGACTAACTAAACTCAATCTATTGTACTGTCAACCGGTCGAATCATCTGATGCAGCATCGACATTAGGACCCTAGATCAAAGACTAGCAATCGATAGATCTACTTATATTTCAATAGAATCATGAAAGCATATTATATGCGTGGAAGCTTAAACTATCGACTAAATAGCCGATAGAAACATAATGAATAAACGACATCATGTTTTCTTAGCAGATAAATCTACTAATCAACAATGTTCGATCCTAATGCACTAACAGGTCGAGTTAGCTGATACAACATTGATAGTGAAGTCAAACCGAAGATTGGTAACCGATAAATCTATCTTCTAACAAAACAAAACCTCGAATACTCACTATGTTCGATCAAGATCAAGACCAATTAGTCGATAAACAGGATGTACCGTCAAAGATTGAATTCAAGTGTGAAATAACCAACAGACGATAGATCAATATAATGAAGACCAACAAATCTTGATCTAGATCGGATAGTTAGTGATATTATATTAAACAGAAAACTATTTAACACAATATCAATAACTTATATCAAAACTTACAAGAGATCAATCAGCTGATGCAGTCTTGTAAATAACAATATCAATCGATAACTAATCTATACCACGACTTATAAGAGATCAATCAGTTGATGCAGCCTTACAAATAACAATATAGATCAATAACTAACTTATAGTACGACTTGCAAGAGATCAATCAACTGATGCAGCCTCACAAGTAATAATATAAGTCGTGATGGTACTTACAAACAAACTGGAGGTCTCGGACGAACCGATGCAACCCTGCTTGCCCGAAGAACTCGCCGAGATCTACTCTATTCCTACTCCTAGGGTTGGCGTAAGCCAAAAAAGTAAAGGTACGGGTTTGTGTTTGATCGATGGATGTCTATTACAATAGCCGTGGTTCAATATTTATACCGAGGCTTGACTACGAGTCCTGGTCGAACAAGACCGGTTACAAACTTGGACTCCAATCTTTCCCTTCTATGAAGTCCGACACGTCTTCTCACTTCAACCGTCGTTATCTCCTCATCGGCAGGATCCATTCTTACCACGATGATGACATCACTATTATTTAGCTGACTCCAATGGCGATTTAGTTAGCTGATTCTTTGAATATTTTGGCTTTCTTCAATAAATCCTAAAATCTAGGGCCTTCGTCGTATCGATCCAAAATTTGGTGTCAACACATGCCCCCCAATTTAAGGATGAAATGATTTTATCCCAAAATTATCTCTTATGACCGTTGTATTGCGCTGCACTTCCAACCTTCAACTCCGAAACCTTCGCGCTATCTCCAACTTTCAGGCCGAGGGTTCATATAAATCTCAAAATTGCCCTAGTCTTCTTTACTCAGCCATTCTGCCTCTGCTCTTCTACTTTGCACTCATCAGCCGTCGAAACTCTCCAAACTTGAATCCCTAGCCAATCCATAACTCCGACGTATTGGAGTGCTTCATCGTTCCTCACGCTTTCCCTGAAGCAGTAGTTTAGTTGGGGGATATGTAACAACAAGATCCACTTGTAGATCTAGATTTAGCCCCTAGGCTCAATGGCGCCCGTCGATCATGTCCCAAAGGTATGAGTCAAAAGCCCTTTTCTCAACTGTGCATGATTCCTCAATTGATTTTCGGCTCCTGGATTTATCCTCTTTTTATTTTCTTAGGAATTCAAAAATGAAATCTTAATCCCATCAGCCAATGTTCCTCATTCTTACTATTTGGGACCCATGGGTAATCCTGACCCTACTGAGATAATCATCCTAGAAACCAGCAGGCTTCTGTTCAAGCAGTCAGTTATGAATCCATCAGCCTAGAATTATACTTTCAGAGCTTGGCCTCAACCTCTCAAAGGGTGGAGGGATTGGTACCACAGAATAGCAGATGCAGAACAGGCCAACTGGGTTCTTTATGATTTGGATCAATGCATTACCTTGTCTTTATCTCCTATGAAAAGAAATGAGCCACTATTGAAAGCTGCATCTTATTTCTAGTCCAATGCTTTTAATGCTTTTATCTTTGGCCATGGTCCAATGACAATTACATTAGCTGATATTTTCATACTGACTGGCCTTAGAATCACTGGTCCTCTCCAACCTTTCAATCTTCTCAACAAACTGTCCCACAAACTATGAAATATGAAAGGAAGGGGATGGACTGGCTATATGGCCAATCATAAGAAACCTGGTGCCGTTAGTGAAAAAGAGCATGTAGCTTTCTTGAACATGTGGCTAGAGAAACATGTTTTTTCTGGGTCATCTTGTGCACCAACCAGCAATAACCTCTACCTAGCAGAGTGTTTGGTGAGTGGTGTTGATTTACCCCTTGGGAAATATCTACTAGGATCTTTCTATCATCTGATGGATCAGGTGTCTAGGAATTTGCTGGAGAACAAACCAATTGGCACAATTAATTGACCCTGGTGGTTATTGAAGCTGTGGCTCAACTTATACATGCACAAGATGGTGGTTGTTGACCTGAGAAACCTGAGCTTCCCTTCCTCCAACTATTCAGAAGATCAGGAGAAATCACTGGACCAAGAACAAAGATTCCGTGGATGCTCATCTTTTGGTGAAGCAGCATCAGTAATCAGCATTCCTCTCGATATCGGTGAATTCTTCAAAAGATTCTACAAGGGGTTTTCTACCGATAGCTTAACTTGGTTCACTTATTCTCCAGTTGATGAATTTATGAATCCTTATAAGTTTAGCTTTGAATCAGCTTGCAGAGATCCATCTTCCATGGCCATTTTTCAATGTTCAATAAAGCCAGGACTACTCCCAACAGAATTTAGGCACGGTCGAGAGAAGCCACTGACTTCCTATGAATTTTACAATCAAGTAGTTGCAGCTTGATAGCTTGGCCTTGGTGAATTGCCCCCGGGCTATTTTTTGCTGACAAATTGAAGCCGAGAGAGGATTTGATGAAGGTCTTGAATTCATACGGATTCTTAAATTTGAAGAAGTTGTACCTCAGACAGATCTGTCCGTATGGAAGTATGGCCCCTTTGCCTCAAACCTGTTCAATGAATGGTGGCAAGAATGGGCTCAACACTTGTTCTATTGATCAACCACTCCCTATTGTCTGACATTGAACCCAAACTTTCCATTTGACGCTGAGGTAAGCAATCTCACATGCTGTCAGTCGATTCTTGCTTCTGGCTAGCATACTCATTCATCTTTACCTTCTTTCGCAGGACATTGATTCTGTCCCCCCAACCATCAACAGGAGCAATCACCCAATTAAATATCTATCTGGTGTCCAAACCCAAGAATAGGATGCAACAATCCTTCATTAAAAACTGTTAAGAGAACACCAGTAGCCCCTATCATATTACAACAAACTTCTTCCTCCAAGCGCAAAACCTATAA